GAATAGACACTCCTTTGTGTTCAGCATCAATTTTGCAACCATATTTAATCTCTGGCCATCTACTGTCTACTGCAGTACTGAAGGAATCTTTTGTTGTTATGCTTAGGCACAGCAGTTATGCTTATTCCCAGATGTCCAATTTGTTCTTTGGTTGCACTTTAATCATGTTACTGTATTTTCTTTTATTAATTGCAGCCAGTCCCTTCTTCTTGCTTCCTAAATGGTTTACACAGACATTTTTCCTAATCTGCTTCGCATCATGTTTACATTCAAACTTGTTGGTTTTAGCATAGATTTTCTTACATACTCCACATCCTGCATTTAAAGGTGTTCTAATTGTCTTCCACTGAGATGTTGTTGAACAATCCCTCATAATTTAATGGCATTCATTTTTCTCTTATTTGTTAAGGTTTAGGCTACATCTGAATTAGGCTGCTCTGCACTGAGTTTCAAATTGTACTCCCTTTTATCCAGCCATCCTTCGAACTTTATGAATTTTGGCCTAATGCCAAACGAAGGAATGTTTCAGAGAGTTGTTGTTTGGACCTGGCGAGCAGGTTAAAGAAGCAAAGAGAAGCTTGAATGACATTTTCACATTTAAATCTAAAACTGGAAGTTTCCAACAATTACAAATGTCTTTCATTCTTTTAATCCTAAGGGGAGATTCAAATGTTTTCTATTAGTTTTCCAGTTCTTCAGTGTGTTTGGACAAATGTCTAGTTTTATTATTTTTCTGCCTCTGCTGTCAACAGCTTTTCTCCTGAGGCCTGTAAAAGCTGCTTAACATTTTGGATTTTGTCTATTGGATAATATGACAGCATTTAACATAGGTGGCTATGGGAGATTATGATCTATGTAAAAACTTTGAAAAGGATTCAAGCATCAGCTCATTTTCAGTGTCACCTTGTTAATCAGGTGTTGTTGCTGTCAACCTGTGTTCAATTTAGAAATAATTTTCAGATATAATCGCCCAAGTAACTTTTAGAAAAGTTATTTAGCTTGAGAACTGAGTTCTTTTATTATTTGGTGAATCAAAGCTTTGATCTAACTTCTCAGCTTCACGTTGTCTCCTGGACAGATGTACATAAAAGAACAGGCTTGTACTTTCTAGTTTTCTGGGAAAAAAAGATTTTTTCTTTATTCTCCCATTCCCAATTCTCTCAGCATACCCTCGCTATGCATTATGAAAATCTAATTTTATGAGTCACATGTTGTAGGAGTATAACCTTTAGTTTGGGAATTGAAATTTTTACATGTAACATAACTGGAAACACCTGGTTTGAGATGATGACAAACAGATATCAAGCAAATGCAACTCAGTGGGTGGCCAGGCTGTGTTTTTTTATATATGTAACTCCAGAACCACAGAAATGTTATTGACTCTCAGCTGCCCTCTGGGCTTTAAGGAATGGGCAAGGAAGGCTGATCCAGCCAGCAACATCCTCATCCTGTGAATGAATAAAAAAAAGGTCAAAGTGGGATATAGGAAAATCTTAAACAATGCGTGACTGTTTAATGAGCTTCTTCATTAAGATAAGAAGTCTCCAAAGGATCAATAAGAGGTTCAACTTATTCATTTAGTTTCCCCAGAACCAAAGGAATGTTGGGAGTTGGGAGTAATTAAATCTTCATCTGGGACATCCCAGGTGTGACACTTTGCCATGGAGATAGATTGTAGAGTGCTTAAATTTTACATTTAGTTGTTATCTACATGATTTCTCACAAAGCCAGGCAGCTGGGGTCTGGGTCCAGTGCAGCATTCAGACAGACAGGAAGAAAATCTGTGAGGAGGTTTAGGCCAGTATCAGAAGACTATCAGAAGTCAGAGGTATTTTCTGATTTGATGTTATAGAGGAAGAATGTAGTGAGGCCCATGTTCGAATTCCAGAGTCCGTAATCATGAGGTGTTGAAGGAGAGTTGAAAGGTTTGCCAAGTTGGATGCTTGCAGAAGAACTTCAACAAAATCTCATACTTCAGGGAATAGCATAAATACTGAGGCAAGAATTACATTGAACTCCTGAGGGCTGTGGCACACTTTATCCCAGGAAAGATGAAGGGACATTCAAGACCCTTTTTGTTTAGAGGAACTCTTGGTTGGAAATAAAAATAGATTGGGAATAGCTAAAACTTTTGGGCTTAAAAATAAATAGATTCAAAACAACAGTGTTAGGAATACAGCCCAGTCCATCACACAAATCAGCTTTCCATCCACTGACTCCATCTACACTTCCCGCTGCCTTGGGAAAGCAGCCAACATATTCAAAGACCCCTCCCATCCCACTTATACTCTCTTCCATCCTCTTCCATTGGGCAGAAGATACAAAAGTTTGAAAACACGCACCAACAGATTTAAGAACAGCTTTTTCCCTGCTGTTATCAGACTTTTGAACAAACCTCTCATACATTAAAGTTGATCTTTCTCTGCACCTTCTCTGCAGCTGTAACACTATATTCTGCATTCTGTTCTATTTTGCTGACATACTTATGTAAGGTATGATTTGCCTTGATAGCATGCAAAACAATACTTTCACAGTATCTTGGTACATGTGACAATAATAAATCAAATCAAAAATTTAAAAACACTTGCTTTATTTAATTCTTGAACAGTTTTTCTTTTTCATGTTAAATCTTGCAGCATAATTCATTCAGTAAATGATTGGGAGTTTGAATTTCTTTTTAAAAGTTTGAGTTTCCACCATGATCGTAATACATTCAACACCACCAGTAAAGAAGACATACAGTTGTACAGCAGGTCGCTTGAAGATGCATGAAATTACCCTGAATGGTTCTTAATCCCTTTCAAATTTTCTATTGTGTCTGCATTTGACCAGGTTTTGCACTATCACATGGCAATGAATAGAGATTAATAGGCACAGAATCATGCCCAGCATGTATGCTGTGTCATATCCAGTGGACCCTATATTCTGAAGCAAAGATCTTTGCTGATACATACGGTCCTTGAAGTAAGCTCAATGTCACAATCTTCATACTTAGTACTACAGTTCCGAGTGAGTTAAAATACTCAATACCAAGCAACACATAGGTCAACATAGGCGACTTCTGCAGTTTTCTTTGAAAAGAGAATTGTGATGGTCTTCAGCCAGCATGCTTCACATTTCAAGCTATTTTCAACATCCTACTAACCCATTTTTTGAATAACCTTTCACAATAGCTGGTTTGTTGTTAAGAAATCTTGAAATGTTGAGGTTCATTTTGCAAATAAAGAGTAGTTGTTTCAATGCTTTCAGAATAGTGGCATCATGAATATGTCTTCCATTTAATGAACCATTGAACAAGGAAAGTGTAACATAATTTTATGCGAATCTATATATTTAGGATACCAATGCTGGGTTATATAGGTGCATTTATAAGACTTATTTGTTTGCTAACTGCATCACACATGAAGAAATGTTAAACACAGCCTTCACCTCTTGCCTGTGGGAAACTTGACTGTTGGATGGTAACGCACTTGGTTCAAAATAAAGTTATTGTGTTGATTTATGTACTTTACTGTTGTAAATATCTGCCTATTAGGCAATACACTTTTGCATCTCTAGCATTCTTACCTCTGCTTTTATTTGATATTGCCTTCTCCATAGTCCTTCAGGCTTTTTTCTGTCTTGTAAATTCTAAAGATGTGAATCCTGTAAAATTACACTCTTTGCATCCACGATAAATTGAAAAAAATGATCATAACATCATCCACTGTTCATATTTTTGTGAACCTCATTTTCCACTTACATCGTATTTCAAGCAGATTTCTGTTAAAGTACTGTAAATCTCAAAATTTGAGTGTTTTATTTTTAATCAAAAGCAATTCTAATGCATTTGCATTTTGTTCCAATGGTAACAATAAGACTTTTATGCATATTGTAAATATGATTTTCTTAACACTAAATTTTGTGCAACTGCAGGAATATTATTCAGGCAACCTCCTGCCTGAGTCCAAAGAGAGCAGGCTGATGTTATCACAGTTGTTGTGATGCCACATGTAGTCATAGTCTAAATAGTCGACCTCTTGAGCCGGCTCCACAATTCAACAGCCGTAAATGATCTGATTACTCCACATTCCTGCTTCCTCTGAATAATTCTTCACACTCTTGATTATCAAGCATCTATCTCTACCTTAAAAATATTCAAAGACTACTTCTACTATCTTTTGAAGCAAAGAGTTCCAAAGACCCATGAGCCACTGTGAGAAAACAAAATCTCCTCATATCCATTTTAAATATTTTGGAATAGACTTTCCTATCCTGATTCATGCCATTCAAATAAGAACCACAACATCAACAGGCTTCAAACTCACACAGGATATACAATGGGGATTGCAGTCTCTGCATTGGTGTGTTGAGGAGGCAATCCGTGTTGCATTGTGGAGCAATTTAGTAATATTTGGTATCTAATGCAATGTGATTCTGGAGATATGAACTCTCACTGGACATGGTTTTTGAGGTAGGTTAAATGGATTGTGATACACAATACTGCAGTTGTGTGGGAAGGTTTAGCTGGACCAGAGTGTCTTTTTCTGGCTGCTGCTGTTACATTTTCATAAGTTCATATCAGAATTTATCATCTCTTTATGAGAAGTCTGTGTCCATGTGTCAAAAATGAGAAAATCAGGGATCAGCGTAGTAATTTCTGTTACATTGGGTCATTCTGACAGACCTCTGCCTCATCTGCCCTGACCCTGTCTTCAGGGGGGCTCTGGGTTGTGCTGCTATTGGATCACCAATATAATGTGTAATTATCATCATCGTTTTGTAATCTGAACTTGGTTTGCTTCTGTCTAATCAGTGCTTGTTTGAAGAATCAGATTGTATTGCATTACAGGAATAGTACTGAGAACGGTAAAATCTTTCATTGAAGGTAGCTGGTTCTAAGTTTTACCACAGTGTTTCATAAGTCTCTTTATTAGATGAAAGATATAAGACACCAACATTTAATCAGTTTTCTGATCAGTTCTGTGATTAACAAGTACATTTGCCAATTTTCTTTATAGGTTGAACCTTGAACTTTTTCAAAACTTGGCAAAGGCCCATGGAGAAATCAGAATCATTCAAATGCAGCAGAATGAATTTTGCTTGTTTTCCTGAAATCTCTGCTGATTTGTAAATCTGACCTACGACACAGACAAGGTTGGATTATCAGAAATGTTTATCAATATATCTCAAATTGGATAAACACGCATATCTTTTTGTGGATGCTGTATAAGGTAATGCTTCTAAAAGAGTTAATGCTGAAGTTGCATTAAACCCCACCTAATCTGATGGTGTCACACAGTCTTTGGTGGAGAATCTAGCACAAAGTCCTGATGGGGGCAGATGTGGCATTGCTGCCTCTTGACAGGCTTGAGTAATTATGTCTAACTAGTCATTTTAATATGTACCTATTGCTATCATACAATAAACTTGTTTTGTAAGAGAAGACATTTTTTTCATTAAGAATGAATAGTAAGAATAAATAATATTCTCGACCATTGCTAATTAGACTGGCCATTATTGTCATCAGAGAAAGGAGATTGTTGGTAGCAGTCTAGCCCAAATACAAGCCGCTTGTGTGTTGATCCAGAGCCTAATACCACATGGTGATCAGCGCTTCTCGCTGTTGCTAAAAAAACTCAACATAACAACAATGGAATCCATTTTGACACACGAGAAAAACGTTACCGAAGACAAGTAAGTTTATCACTTTAAATACATTACAGCTTTAAGAAGACACAAACAGTCAGGAGCTGAAATGTGTAAACTGACCAGCAGTTAAGATTATTATTGGGAGCAGCAACAGGGCCAAAGCAGCACTCCACAAAAAACAACGTCCACCTCAGATCTAGTAAGAGCTGCAGGAAAAACAGTATGGGCTAGAAAGAGAGTGAAAACTAGCCACACCAGGAAGCAGTGAGAAGAAGACTTCTTCAGAGTGAGTAGGGACTCTTAAGAGTAAATTTAGAAATCCATGGCATAAGGGAAGAATAACTTTACAAAACAGCACAAACGAGCAGGCTGGAAAAGATAGAAGGGAAAGTGAGTAATTATACTTCAAAATGAGCATCACCACCATTGCCAGTTTTCTCTATGAGGCATAAAGCCAGAAAATTAATTTAAGTTGAAGTTGCAACATCAGGAAACTGATAGAACAGAATCTTCCCAGCCTGTGAACAATGTGGTCATTGGTGAGAAAGCTGGGAGAATCACATGAGTTGGCCAGAAAGGTGTTTCCTGCCATCAAGAACAAAGATCTGCTCCTATGATGCTGCTTGGCCTGCTGTGTTCGTCCAGCCCTGCACCTTGTTGTCTCCCATTTTTAACCAACTGTTGTACGGTGAGATGGGATTCTCATTACTGAGTAGTGAAAGGGCTGCACAGCGGCTCAGTGGTTAGCATTGCTGCCTCACAGCCATAGGGACCCAGGTTTGATTCCACCTTCAGGCGACTGTCTGTGTGGAGTTTGTACAGTCCTCCCATGTCTGTGTGGGTTTCCTCCGGGAGCTCCAGTTTCTTCTCACAAAGGTGTGCAGGTTAGGTGGATTGGCCATGCTAAATTACCCTGTAGTGCCCAGACATATGCAGGCTAAGTGGATTAGCCATGGGAAATGCGGGGATACAATGACAGGGTGGATCTAGGCTGGGTGCACTTTGGAGTGACAGTGCGGACACAATGGTCCAAATGGCCTCCATCTGCCAATTTGAATGCATTAGCATTCTCATTCGTGCTTCATCTCATATCATTGATGTGCAGTTTCCCATTCTCCACCCTCTGGATTGAAACTAAATGGTCACAATTCCCACATGGAAGTCAAACTCCAGCTCGCAGCCTGCTCCTCCGACCTATGTTACTTGCCAGCATGTCAGGGCTGTAACTGCATACAGTCCCCATTCAGCAGGACCTCCACAACTCATTGGCAAAGCGGGGTGTCAATTACTCCCTTGATGTGTCTGGGGATAACTGAAGTAAACCACTTAGAGCAGCTAATGCTTGACCTGGTGCATGGCTGGGCTTTAAAATTGATGCTAGCACCAGGAATTGCAGGAGGCCCTGTCAGTGGGCAGGACTCCTGTCTGTGGCAAGTGGGAAGATATGATGAGCAGTCATCATGTGGGTAGGGGGCATAGATAATGAATAGTTTGGAAAGATAGTGCAAGAAAATTCACTAGGCCTTATGGAGAGAAACCCATCATGAAACTTGCCAAAATTGCCATTTAGCCAACTTTTGGTAAAATTCATTTTAAAAAAGCCCATAAACCCCATAGAGTTTATTTAAGGTGGCAAAATGTCAAATTTGAAAAGTTACCAGAAGAAGAATATTAGAAGAATCTTAAGGCTTTAGAAGATCAGGACATGTAATTGAAACTCAGAGATAGCAAGAACTGCCGATGCTGGAGTCAGAGGTAAGACAGTGTGGAGCTGGAAGAACACAGCAGGCCAGGCAGCATCAGAGGAACAGGAAAGCTGACGTTTCGGGTCAAGACACTTCTTTGAGTTTCCTGCTCCTGTGATGCTGCCTGGCCTGCTGTGTTCCTCCAGCTCCACACTGTGTTATATATGTAATTGAAACTGTCATTGCAGTTGGAAGAATTACTAAGGCCACAGTCATAGAAGTTTATTTTAAACATTGTGTAAGAGGACATACATTATGTTTTAGACTGCAAGGAAAATGTCCATTTTGCCAATAAAGAAGCAGAAAATATCCATCTTGGCTTCAGAAGACATATTGATGATTTTAAAGTTGAGAAATCCCTAGTAAGCATTGCTATTTAGCACAAATTAAAGCTTGAAATAAGTAATAAAATAAAGTTTCTTAGCTAGCTGAATTTAAAGTTTTATTGCAAGAATTGCATACAGTATTTGCCATAATACAGAACTGAAAAGCTTGTAGACAAAGGAACACCTTCAAAATTGCGAGAACACAGAGCAGAAAGTTCAGAAGGAACTTTAAAACATCAGAATTTAGACAGTATTATTTAATACAAGGACACATACTTGAAAATAATAGATTGCAAACAACATTGAGATGCTATAGATTTAAAACAGCTTTAAAGGAATAAGAATAAAGAAACATTTTAACAATGAATGGAAGGAGAAACAATAATTTCATAAAGATTCAATGTTGAAGGTGGGAGAAACAGAACATTAGTATGGACATCTTGGAGAAAACAATCCTTGTGATACAGAATTACTTCAAAATTAAATATTAACTCTGAAGCCAAGCAAGTTACGTTTATTGTATGGCCTGGCTGCAGTGCTAATACAGACTGCTACCTGTCAGAGCCTGGTGCAGCAAGCAGGAGTATAACAGTAACCTCAACTGCCTACAACTGTATGGTTTGATGCTTACATCTTGAGTTGTAATCAGAAGCTGCCAAGATCTTGATATAAGACAACGAGGTGTAGAGCTGGATGAACACAGCAGGCCAAGCAGCATCAGAGGAACAGGAAAGCTGATGTTTCGGGTCGAGACCCTTCTTCAGAACGAGGGTCTAGACCCAAAACGTCAGCCTTCCTGCTCCTCTGATGCTGCTTGGCCTGCTGTTTTCATCCAGCTCTACACCTTGTTGTCTCAGATTCTCCAGCATCGGCAGTTCCTACTAGCTCTGCAACAAACGTCTTGATATAATCCTAGAGATGGATAACAAGACCCGCCTTTCCTTTAACCTGTCTTTTAGCTTATTGCTGTTCTCAAATGTCAGTGCATAACTACATGGTAGTCATTTTAAAATAATGAGCCGAACTTACATAAGAGTTGCTGTTGATACGTTTCTGATCCTAAATATTAAACTGCCTCATTGAAGATCAATATAACATCACTCTTACCACCTTAGCGCTGTAGGGGTTTTTGCTGCTTTGCATTGCATATGCAGCTGCCTTCTCACCAAAGACATTTAGTTACATCTAACAAGTTGATAGTTGTCTCAGTTTGTACCAATCTAACAGCTTGAAGCTTTTTATTGCAGGATTTGGTTGTTGTCTTTTACAAATTCCCCCAAGAAAAACAGTAACTCTAATGCTGAGATTACAAAAGAAGCATCCTCCAGTTCTGTCCTTGCACTTTCCCTTCAGGAAGGAGAAATTCTCTGTGATCAGGACAGGGGAAGTCTGAATGCTTCCTTTATGTCTGGGAGGGATTGCCCCTTGTCCTTCTGGCTCACAGGAATGAAAAAGCAGCAACTGCAGGGAGCAGGCAGCTTCAGTTTCCCAAGCCCAGCAGCTAAATGCAAATTGGATGATTGAACTGCCGGAACCTAATTTAAATACATAAAAATGCATCCTGCCTGTATACATGAGGACATTCAGAACCCCAATGTCCACCACTGTCAAAATGGCAGCAGGATTTGGTATGTAACAGAACAGCATCACTTTCCATGTATTTCACTCATTAGTCCCACCACATGACCTTCTCCTGTCCATTATAATGGAGCAAAGTCAGAAGGGAATTAATATAAAGGTTATTGTTATGGTATGTTCAGTAAGTATTAGACATCAGAGTCCTAAAACAAAACACTGTCCACTGATGGACTGTTCACAAATTATTTTGACTCCTGTCACTGGTTGGATCTCCTCTGCTGGATCTGCAAACCAGCTTTCTTGATTCTTGTGAACTAGTTTAAAGATTGCGTGTTCTGTCCAAAGCTCTGTTGATAAAGAATCTGCCCAGTGGGAGCTGAGGTATATAGGCAAGAAAGTTATTTACTTGGGCTGATTCCTGCTATGTGCCAGGAAACCCAATTCATTTGATCTATTGCAGTGTAAACCATGACCCAAATATCCCCGTCTCTAAACAGTCAGAAATAGGGTACAAGTTGGGAAATGTGTGTCAGGGCTCTGAAGAGATCCTGATGGAACAGACCTTCATGGAAAGAGCCCAAGAAGTTTAAGTTTCTGATAGGCTAATTCCATTGACCCAATCAACTATCCCTTTATCCCCAATCATCAACTATCCATCCTACTATGCTCCAATCAGACCCTTGATGACCTGCAGTCATCTGACTAACATCCACGTCACCCACCTACCCACCCTCCTGTTCACCTACTCATGCATGGCACCTACCTATTCAATACCTCAAACATGTTCATGCCATGACTTGAGACATTAAAAAAATTACCTGAATACAGCTGCAATTGTGGTTAAAGATCCTCTCCTTGACCCCAGTCTCCTTGCTGGCCTCATCCTGGAGAAGCTGCACTGATCCATTGCTCCCTAACAGGGATCAGAGACTAGGTGGTATTGATAGGTCATAGAAAAGTTGGTGAACAACAGCAATGTGCCTAGAATGACCACTGGCCAGAAGATCTGGACTTGCAACTCAACCAGCAAGAGCATCTTTCAGGGAAGATAGAAGACAAAGTTCAAGACTAAAATGTAGTTTTAAGACATGAAGATGGTCATTATGGCTGAGAAAATTAATTGTCAAAGTCGGCAACTATAGTGT